CCAGACACCACCTTTCCAGGACCTGCCGCAGCAGGGGTTGATCAACCAGCCCTGCATGTGGAGATTTGAACAGAAGGTGACCATCCAGACCTTGATGCATTTCCTACAGCAGGAAGATGGAGAAGGCACTGGAAACCCATACCCCATTCTGCTGGAGCTCCTGTCGAAGGTTTGCTGGGGGAATACCTCCCCTCCTCCAAAACACACGCAGGCACTGAGTAGCTTCAGCCTGGTTGGTGTCCGTGGGGCACTGGAGTAACTTTTTCCCCCATGTTTCTTGGGAGCATCCAAGGAAGGTCCTCCTCCAGGTTACCCCGCGGTGCCAGATGGGATCCCTGTCCCTTGAATCGCGCTGAATTAGTAACTCCAGCTTGAGAACATCCGACATGTCCGACACCTGCCTGACATTTTCCATCTGCAGAATGCCCTGATCCACTTCTTCCAAAACAGCCATACAGGGGAAAACTACACAGTCCATCAATTCCTGGACCAGCCTGAACTTTCGGGTAGGATATGGATTGCCATCATGCCTGGGACACGGGCATTAGACAGCCTCAGCAACCAGATGCTTGCCTGGGAAGCTGCTGCTGTAGTTTGCGTGGTGGAGCCAACCCAGTCAGCACAAGAGCAGCCCACCGAGGCTGGGGGTGCCTCTGCAGGAGCAGTTTTGGGGGGAATTTAGGAGGGGATGGGGGTGTCTGAGGCATTGAGGTGCATCCGGGACAGATCCTTTCTCCTTGGAGCATTTGGTGCTTGGGGAGAATCTTCTGCCGTGAGCAGGCAAGATAGGTGAGATGGGCTTTTCAGCTCCTAAGTCATGGTGCCTGGTTGATTGATGTCACACGTGGTCTCACGCAGGCTCGAAGCCCAGCTCGAGCCAACACACAGCATGGTTTGCTGTGACACCTCCAATGACGTATCTGTTGGAGACAGCCTTTGACCTGACATGTCTCCTGGGAGAATGCCTTGACGGGGCCATTTTCTCCTCTCTCTGTGCCCACAGTGGACCAACGTTTGGCTTTCAGCAGAGCTATAGAGACGATCCGGAAAGTTTGGAGCAATATTAAAATGAACCCATCTAGCTCAGGTACGTGCTCTTCTGCTGGGAAGAAAGAGGGATGTCACATCCCTCTTTCCTTGGCTGTTTCTTCTGGAGATGCCCCAAAGCTGAGCTGCTTTCTGCAATTGCCCTTCCTAGCAAAATTGCTGGGCTGGCTTCCTTTCCACCTGCTAAAAAAAAATTAAACACCCCCCTCTGAAAAGACAAAAACCTAATAAAAAAACCCTTCCAAGACCTCAATGAAAGGGAGAATTTCCCCTGGGATCCATACAGCGGGTGGAAGACCGTTCCGCCCTTTTACAAGCATCACCGTCCTGCCAGACCTCTCGCCGAATGACATCAAAACCAACACTGCTGTCCTGCAGCTCCTCCCCACCCAACCGTCCATCAGCCACCTGGTGACCAGGTTCCTCATACAGCTGCAAAACAGCTGCGTTGACACGGCCGCGCGGATCACCAGGGAGAGGCAACGGTACGTCTTGAGCTGCTCACCCCAGGGCTTGTCCATCTCCTCCAGCCTCCATAAAGTCTCCACGAGAAGCTCTCAGGGCTGGCAGTGGCGCTTGCAGGGGAGCTGTGGTGGCCCAGCAATGCCATTGCAAGGTCCTGGTGGCTTGGTGTTCAGCAAAGCGGGTCCTTGATGGCAGAGTAGGACGAGGTGAGAGGCCCTGCAACCACACAGGGCAACCATTCCTCTCCCAGGTCCATCTCCGCAGAGGAGGTGAAGCCCTCCTCCGTGCTGGCTGTAACCAAAAGCGATCTGGTGACCATGGCGCTTGCCAACTTGCAGTATGAGATAGACGAAGACGGCACCAAGACGACCTACTTTGACTTCCAGATGCTGCAGCGGCAAGTGGTTCATCGCTTCATCAGCGGGAAGCCCATCATCAAGGCTCAGGTGAGCTCAGCAGCGACCAAGTTGGGTTGTCCCAGGCCAGCAGTGGGGCTGGGGTCTGTTTCTAGCCTCTTCTGCACGCCTTTCTGGAGTCAGCAGACCTAACTGAAGGCATTGGCAGATGCCTGCTGTGCATCTGTCTCTGTTCCTTGGGTTTTGAAGGACTGCCATAGCCAGAAACCACTTCTGTGGTCAGGAAATGGTGACCTGAAAGGTAGCATGAGGACCTACAGCTCTGTCTTTTGTGAAGGGGAAGCCAGCCTGGTTTGAGAACACGGGAGGAGTTGGTAGCTGTTGAAAGAACTTCAAGAGGCATCTTCCAGGGCTATGTATGGCCCAAGGTGGGACTCTGAACCACATCTGTGGCTGGGGCTGTTGGTCTCCATTCTGTGAAAAGGAAGCCTGGAGCTGGTGGGAAAAGGGGACTTGAGGACACTAGGACCAGGCTGTTCTGCAGCAACTGGGGTGCGCATGCTCTCCGAAATGCAGAGACCAGTCCACGCTGGCTGTTCCCAAGACCCTTTTGGTCCTTGGAAATGGTTCTCAAGAGGACTTTCTCCATCACCTTGCTGGGGATGGAGGTAAGGCAGTGAGCTCCCCTGATCCTCCTTCATGGAGATGCCTTCCTCCAGCTATCAGGGGACCTCCCCTGATCTCCGCAACCCCACAGTGACCCCAGGAGGCCATCGACCACCTCCTGCAGAACCCTGGGGGACATCCCGTGGACTCACATCTGCTCAGCTGAACTTCCCGTTGGCCCCTGTTAAGTGACACCAGGCATGTTCATAACCATCTCTCCCAAACCCTTTCCAGAAGGCTCCATCCATTGCCCTCAATAACGTGAGGACCCTCCAGGCCACCAAGACGAAAGTCAGGGACCAGCTGCCCCAGGTAGGAAAGGGGTAGCCGGTCTTCTCCTCCATCCAACCCTGAGTTCTCCCTTCATGTCCCATGACATGATGTGGGCATGGAGGCAGGGCAGATGTGCAGGAAGACCCAAGGCCAACTCAAGTAGGGGGTTGGAGACCTGGCAGGACCCAGTTCTCCTGTGCCATGGGGACGAGCAGGCTGTGAGGGCATCACGTTGTGGTGGTCCCAGCCCTCTCCGGGGCACATCCTTGCCGTTCTTGCCAGGAGCTGCTCAGCGTCAACCAGCAGAAGCGCATCATGGAAGAGGCCCGCTCGGTCAACGCCCTCTCCAAGGCCCTGGCCACCTTGAAGGTGGCTGCTGAGTTCCTGGCCGCGACGGGTGGTGACCCGGAGCGCCTGCTGCCTGAGTATGTCCGGCAGGAGCTGAGGATGGACACCGGCACGAAGGAGTTCCAGGACGTGCCGGTGGGCAAGGGGCTCAGGGTGGGTGGGAAACGAGACCCTCGTGTCCTACCCCCCCCCCTGCCACTCTGGGCCAGGCTTCACATCCCCTGTGGCTCCCACCAACTTCACGTGCTCCAGGGCCCCCAGATCTAGTGCCTGTGAAGGGCTGGGGGACTCCTGCTCAGAGCAAAGAGGTCCTGGGCACCTGGGTGGGTTTGAAAGCTTGGCTGGGTGGTGGCAGGTCTTCATGCTGTGTCCACCAACACGCTGGGGACAGCTTGGACACTGCAGATGGCACGAGGCACCTCTGTGGGGGACGCCGGTGATCTGGGATCCAAGGGTTTGTAGATGCACCCGCCTGGACGCTCAAACTGGGCAGTTGAGGTGCAGCCATCAGGGGATGTTGGTGGCCCAACGTGTCCTCCAGGGCACGCTGGAGTTGAGCGTGGACAGGACCTTTCCAAGGAGCTGAACGCCTGTGCCTCTGTCCCCCTTCTTCAGGTGGTGTCCAACACCCAGCTGAAGCACATCCTGTCACTGTGGCAGGTCCTGGCAGCTCGCAGGTCCATGCTGTTGGTGCAGATGAACTAGGTGAGGGAGGTTAGGGTTTGCTCTCCCAGGAGGAGAAAGGAAACCTATGTTGCTTGCAGCCAGGCAGCACTTTTGACATCCTTGTCTCATCCCTTCCCTGGGTAAAGTCAAGGTCTTTGGCCCATCCTGAAGATAATCCACTCCCCTGGGCAGTTTCAGCACAGGCTTATGTCTTGGAAGCTCTCTGGTGGACCCTGATACGAGGTTCAAGGACACAAGAGGGTTGTGGTTCTCATTCCTCCATCAGACGTCACCTCCGGACCCACCTGGGTGGGGTGTTCTGGGGTCTCCCTGTTGCTGAAGCTGGTGGTCTTTGCAGGATCCCTTCTGGCTGGTACCCAAGCAGTTCCAGGGGCAGCTGGATGCAAGGGAAGCAAAAGCCCTGTCTTCCATGTTGGCCAACACCAACCTCGACCTCTTCCTCATTGAGCTTCACGAGATGATCATGGTGGCACTGTCCAGATTTGAGCCTGAATATGAGTAAGTCCAGGTTGTATCCTGGGACAGCCAGAGCGGTGGCAGAAGTCACAAGCTTCCTAGGAGGGTGTGGTTGGGGAAGAGACCTCTGAAGGTCTCTGGTCCAAGTCCTGGTCCAGGCAGGTTACTCAAGGCCTCGTCTGATTGCGCGTTGGTGCATCTCCGTCTTTGGAGGTGCTCATGTTGGGGGGCTGTCCCAAGGTGGCATCACCCCTGATGGGAAGAGGTTTTTCTTATGCCCAACCATCCGCTGCCTCGTTGGCTCCTGATATGAGAGATACCCGGGGCCAGCCTCTAGCATGAGGTGTTGGCCACCATTGACCAGCCAGCAACCTTGGCCAAGACAGTGCTTATTGTTGATAGCCAACGCTGGCCTTGGCTGGCTGCTGGGGGTGGTGGGACATCCATCCCACCTCCACCTGCTCATCCCCCCCCGCCACACTGCCTCACCCACAGGCTGAAGTATGCCTTTAAGTTCTTCCTGGAAGACAACCAAGTCCCCGCCACCTCTGTGGCCACACTCACGGATGCCCTGGACCCAGACATCCCCGTCAAGAACATCCTTTCCGTCTGGAGGACGGCTGCGAAGACCAGCCAGATCAACGTCCCTGCGTACAGCCAGGAGAGGCCAGCCCAAGGCAGCCATTAGCCCCCTTCTAGCAATGACCCTGCTGGTGGCTTGTCCCCACGGGCACAGAGGAAACATCTACCCCTAATCCCAGCTCTGGGGGCAACACGAGCTGCGTGTGGGCTCCTGGAGCAGCTCAAGCCCCAGACCATCTACCCCTAATCCCAGCTCTGGGGGCAACACGAGCTGCGTGTGGGCTCCTGGAGCAGCTCAAGCCTCCGACCCCCCAAAATCCTGCTCCCCCACTGCCTGAACCCGGGTGAGAAGCTCTCACCTGGACCCACCACTGCCCCCACAAGGCTCGCAAGTGTCCCCGTCCCTCCAACCCTGCCGAGCCACAGCAGGATCCTGGAAAACATCCCCGTGGACACATCCCAGTGCCACTACCCCTGTGCTCAGTTGGCCAGCTCTGCCTCCTGGCAGCCCCAGGGTGGGGTCTGAGGCGCTGGATCCCCTCTTCTACCCCCATTTTGGCCAAGGGGTGCTTCTGCGTGTCCCCGTGCCCATCGTTGGTGGCCTCTGTCCTGCCCTGTCCCTCCTGTCCCTTCCCACATCATTAAACGCTCAAGGACCCATCTTGGTTTCGTGTTGTTCCCAAAAGAGTGGTGGAGGTGTGACCATCCTTTCTTGGGGGGGCCTCTGGAGAGGCAGCGGTGGAGGAGCTGGAGGCCTGAGCTTCACCACACTGGCCTCCACGGGTGGCCAGGGGCAAGAAAGACCACAGCCACCCTGCCCAGACCTGCCCGCAGTGGTCCAGTATACCCCAGTGTCCCCAGGCTTTGACCCACGCCGTGAGCTCCTTCCCTCCATCTACTTGGGGAACGAGACTCTCTGTCCTCTCCACACCCTGAGGTATTTATAGACATTGATGAGACACCCCCACCGCCCCCCGTGTCTTTTCCAGGCTGGACCATCCCAGCTCCTTCAGCCTCTCCTCCTTGGAGAGATGCTCCAGTCACTTCATCATCGTGGTGGCCCTTCCCTAAGTCTAGTTTAAGGCTCTTCATAGAAGTCTGGCCAGCTTGTTGGTGAGGACCCGCTTGGTCAGGTGAATCCCATCAGCTCCCAACAGATCCAGCTTCTCGAAGGTAGACCCGGCTTCTCAAAGGTAGATCCACGATCATAGAAGCCCAAACCTTGAGTATGGCACCAGCCACGCAGCCAGATGCTCCAGTTGCTTCATCATCTTCCCTGGACTCTCTCCAGTATGGCCATGTCTCGCTTGTACTGGGAAGCCCAGTGCTGGACGCAGCCCTCCAGGTGTGACCTCACCAGCACAGAGGTGAAGGACCATCTCCCTCCACTGTGAGCCGCCTTTGTGGCAAGGGCTCATGGTTCATGGTCAACTTGGTGTCCACTAGGACCTTTTCTACCAAGCTGCTTTCCAGCCTGGTGTCCCCATGGTGTCCTGGTTGTCCCTCCCCAGTGGCAGGTTGTCCCCTCCCCTGGTAGAACCCCATGAGGTTCCTCTCAGCCCATTTCTTCAGCCTGCTGAGGTTTCTCTGGGTGGCAGCAGGAGCCTTTGGCGTCTCAGCTGCTCCTCCCAGTTTGGTGTCACCTGCAACTTGCCGATGTTCAGCGAGTTGACAACTCACCTCACTGCTCATCCAGCCCATACACCAACAGCTTCTCTAGGAGGATCTTACGGAAGACTGTGTTGAAAGTCTTCCTGAAGTCCAGCTAGACAATGTCCACTGCTCTCCACTGCTTTGTAGATATTGATCAAATAGGTCAAGCGTGACTTCTCCTTGGTGAAGTCATGCCGACTGCTCCTGATGCTTATTCTGTACTTCATGTGCCTGGAAATGGTTTCCAGGTATCTTGGTTTCAGCAGGGATAGAGTTAATTTCCTTCCTAGTAGCTGG